TATTTAGAAGGATTTTCATAGCGTTACTGCACGTTTCAAGCCTTTTCTAGTTTGCAAGTTCTGCATGAGACTCTGCAAAGAACTTGGGACTAGTCACAACATTATTGTCATCTGCTTATTTGTCAATCTACTTTAGCAGTTTTTGAGATTGTTTTGAACTTGGATGCTGGAAAATTCCTAGTTTATTATTAAAACTATCACACTATCTTAACATTGCAATATGCCCGTTTATGCACCAAATTTAGAGTTTCTACCATGATTGCTTGGAAGGGAAGAACTTGAAGAGTACTGTTCGACTTTAAGTCTACACAGATTTCTAAGGGGAACATTCTAATTGAACTAACCGAAGGTCTCCCGTTCTGCAATTATTGCTAGGAAAAAGATCAAAGGCGCTGTTATTTCGAACTAGGAAAGAAACCGAAGGATTTTTCTGAGAAAAGGAAATTTTATCTCGCGAAATTTGGACAGTAGTCCTTCAAAGCTAGCTTCCAAAGCTTTCTCATGAGTTGTAAACCAAAAAATCTCCAATAAATTCCAAGTTCGCAGAGATTTACACTAATCTTTAGAGAAACATATTTCTCAAAGTTTTCGAAAGAAATATGCAAAATATGTTCCTGAAAATTTGCTTTCGAGTTTCCCGCCATCATGAAACTCTCAGAATACTTTTCCTTGCCATTAGAAATAGAGATATTCTGTAAAATTAATTGTTTTAAACCAGTGACCCCCTAGTGTGAGTCTGTAGCAGATGGATGATTTATTCGTAAGTTCAAAAACTGAGCGCCTATATAAACATATCGGCCAGACGCTCAACTGAAGATTATACAAGTGCCAGCTGACACTCAGAACATGCAAACGAAGAGCTTCTCGAATTAACTACTCTAACTAGCAACCTTCACAACTAAACCGTGCTGGTGCAACTCGTCCACAGCACTGCTAATAAGGCGGTAATTGGGGAACAGAAGAATATATATTCAATGTGTTAGGGAGAGAGAGGATTAGAGACTAACTGACCGTGCATTGGGCGTGCCAACTTGCCTTGTTTCTCGGTATTTATCGCCTTGATACACATGTCGTTATCCTCGGGATATTTATCGCATGACAACATTTCTGGCCATGGGAAACCGTACACGGACATCCTTCCCTCACAACCCTAAGCCATGCGGAAATAAGGGTGTTTGGTTCTAAAGACTTATGGATATACCTGTTTTACAGCTTGACAGAGTGACCGACAAGGAAGGATCTCTTTGTCCATAGTTGGAAGGCAGATGGGAGCGAAAAGGGAGCACAGAAAAAGCTGCGAAAG